CTACTACTACCATAACTACTAACTCCTACTACTATAGCTACTAGCTACTATGACTATAACTACTAACTACTTTAACTGCTAACTACTAACTACTAACTACTAACTACTAACGACTAGCAACCAACTACCAACTACTAACTACTAACTGCTAACTACTAACTACTTACTACTAACTACTAACTACTAACTAGTAACTACTACTACTACTACCACTACCACTACTACTGCTACTACTACTACCACTACCACTACCACTACTACTACTACTACTACTTCTACTTCTACTACTACTACTACTTCTACGACACGACTACGGCAACTATACTACGACTACATGTGGTTGCGACTCCCACGACTACGTCTACTCTTCGACGATGCGACGACAAGTACTGCGGGGAGTGCTAGTGCTGTGCTTGTTGGACTCCAGTCTTAGTTTCTATCCCCTTGTAGAGACAAAGTGTACTGTATAGTATAAGAACATGTTTGTTGATGGGGCTGCAGTTTTTTTTTCTGTTGTTGTTGTTGGTGGCCAACTGAGGCATTCTGCACCTTTGCGGTCCTGAATGTCATGACAGGACGCAGGGTCGACATTTAACTGAACGTTTCAACAAACACAAACACAATGTTCAAACGTACAGTGTGAGTTGCCCTTTGGCAAAGTTATTTCTTTCGGCAAACAGTTCTTTCGGCAAACAGACAAACAAACCAACCTAGCCAATACACGTATGTGCGGCTGTGCGACATGTTCTATGTTGACACTGCCACATGCCGAATTATTGCAGCTTTCTGCGTGTTTCAAACGAACAGAACATGCCGAGTGCTAAGCTGCCCAGGAGTTTTCTGTCACTCGGCAATCCGGTCTGGTGAGCAAGATCACTTGAATCGGCTTGACAATCGACAAGAGTTTCGAGAAATTCTGCAAACAATCTTTGAACGGATGGATAGCTCGGGTGATGGACTGCTGACATTGTCGGAGTTTGAGAGTATCTTTGAGAGTGAAGCGATGCAGGCCTTCTTGGACACTGCTGAGATCAACGCCTCGGATGCTTGGACTCTCTTTATCTCCTTAGATGTGGATGGAGATCATGTGGTGGACGCTGAGGAGTTCACGAAGAGGTGCTTGACCCTGCGCGGACCTGCCCGGTCCATGGATATTTTTGCTTTGACACGTCACAACATGAAGATCCGAGAGCAGCTCAAGGCGCTGGACCAGAAGATCCATCGGCTGAGTAGCTTGACTCCAGGGGATGATGCAGACTTTGAAATCTAGATGCGGAATGCCTTGGAGAGCTTCTTCAAGCCAACCAGAATGCCATTTGATGCCAGATACTCCTTTTAGTATTGTAGCTTGCCTTCCTCTGAGTATTGACATGCTATATAGATTGGATTATCAACATTCAAAAATTCGCCATCAGTGACATTTTGCAATCTCATCCTGCAAAAGCAGGCATGGGTCACCAATGCATGATGACACAAGAAAGGCGGAAAAAAAAGTGCTGCTTGCACTCACTCACTCCGCTCTTGAGATGTATCCCTACTACCCGGTTTGGAGGGTTACGGCTTAGGAGGGTTGAAACTGTAAGCACTGCTGCCTTTCTAGCTGCTAGCTGTTCAAGAAGAGTCCTCTTGATACTTTTTTCTTGTTGGTTGGGTTTTTGAGACTTCAGGCACTGAAGATGCGTTTTGCATATTCCAAGCTTTCTGTGGAGGGCGTTTTAGCTCTCGTTGCTTTATCGGCTGAGGCTTCCTGCAAGTAGTCATTGGGATGCACAGGACGCCTTGTCAGCGGCATTGGTGGGAACTTGGGTGCTGGTTGACTTGGAGAGTTGAAATGGACCGGCAAAAGGAACGCCGCCCTTGGCAAAGGTTTGCGTGTGTATTTCTCAAATCACTTGGCCAAACCTCAAGCTTGAATCATGGCGAGGGCGGTGCTGTCATCATGTTGGAGCCCAGACTATATTGGTCAAGTCGTATTTCCCGTTCAAGACAAAAACTTGACGTGGGTGGCATGCCAGGATCCTGGTTCCTTTTTCGTTTGAAGGCCCTAGTCGATCAATACCAGCTGGAGTCTTTGTGCCAACAGAGTGGATGAAGCCTTCAAAACCAGGCTTTCACCCAAAACTGTGGCTGCCGGCTTTGGCCTTCGAGAGAAGCATCGAACATGGAGTGAAACAAAGAGCGAATTGGGGAAGTTGCCGAGTTTACCCCAGCATTGTAATAATTGGATTGTAATTTAAGTCTGAACAAAAGACTCTTGCATGGGCTTTGGGTGGACCGGAGTAAAGGAAGCAAGGCGCTCGTGTTATCTTTGTCGTTGATTTTTCACAGGAACGCCGTTTTCGAAGTGTGTGTGTATGCACGATGATTCTTTGGGTTGGTCTTGAATGAATTTGAATGATATTGATAACTTCCAACCTTTGGTGATTCCTCGGCCACTTTTGTGAGCCATGGCTCTTTGCACTGTGCTGCTTCTTGTAGCATTTGTGGCCTCTGCTGAATTACACACGCCCGTCGTGATCGACACTGAGACTTGGCTGTTGTTCAAAAGTCCTATACTGTAATTACACCTCTAAATTATTCTAAATTCCTTTGTGGTCAAAACGTTGTCACAACCTAATAATTTGTCTCCACAGAGAATATCGCAGTAAGTTACGTAGACACCTTGATACGGCACCTCCTCAACCAATGATTAACTATTTGGGTGGTGATGGTGACATTGTCAAAAAGTTTTCTGATGTAATTTCTTGGAAGTTATGTCCGGCACAAACGTTTCGCCGATGAAGTCAAGGCAACGTCTTTCCGACAAACATTGGGTACCATGCACTGGCAAGTGGCCTGGCAGGCTTGCGATTCCCTTGGTTAGAACCCGTGGCCCGACAAATTTGCATGAAAATAGTAATGTACAACGAGATTCACACTTTTTGCCACGGCGGGCACGCATCTTTAGTGGCATTTTGTCTTGTCACTGTCTGAATGTCCAGTCTACAATGGAAGGCATTTGATCGATAAGGAACAAAGAACACACACACACACAGGATTGTCCACTGTGGAGGCCCAGCATGGTTTGATCATCGGACCCTTTGTTTGAGCAACACCCGATTGTGTTATGTCCACTGCACAGGTCATGCATTGATCGCTAAAAGCAGATCTTGACTTCGGAGAGTTTCTGCATTTAACCTGCCATGTAAGCAACATTTGACAAGGTCCATACTGCTGTAAACTTTTTGGATTGATAGGAACCATACGTTTTGCATCGTGTATATAATCTACGTAGTAATTACGAAAGCTAGCCGATAGGCAACTGCTTGAGTTCTCATTTGCGA